TAAAAGAATCAGGAGACTAGCTAAAAGAATCAGGAGACTAGCTAAAATAATCAGGAGACTAGCTAAAAGAAGCCGGAGACTAGCTAAAACTTGAAAGAATCAGGAGACTAGCTAAAAGAATCAGGAGACTAGCTAAAAGAAGCAGAAGACTAGCTAAAAGAAGCAGGAGACTAGCTAAAAGAAGCAGGAGACTATGTAAAAGAAGCAGAAGACTAGCTAAAAGAAGCAGGAGACTATGTAAAAGAAGCAGGAGACTATGTAAAAGAAGCAGGAGACTAGCTAAAAGAAGCAGGAGACTAGCTAAAAGAAGCAGGGGACTAGCTAAAAGAAGCAGGGGACTATCTAAAAGAAGCAGGAGACTAGTTAAAAGAAGCAGGAGACTATGTAAAAGAAGCAGAAGACTAGCTAAAAGAAGCAGGAGACTAGCTAAAAGAAGCAGGAGACTATGTAAAAGAAGCAGGAGACTAGCTAAAAGAAGCAGGAGACTAGCTAAAAGAAGCAGGGGACTAGCTAAAAGAAGCAGGGGACTAGCTAAAAGAAGCAGGGGACTAGCTAAAAGAAGCAGGGGACTAGCTAAAAGAAGCAGGAGACTAGCTAAAAGAAGCAGGAGACTAGCTAAAAGAAGCAGGAGACTAGCTAAAAGAAGCAGGAGACTAGCTAAAAGAAGCAGGAGACTAGCTAAAAGTTAAAACGTAGCTACACATTATGACACGTCGTCTCTGCAGCGTTTGTTTTCTGGCTCAAAGGCAGAAAAGTTTGGAAGCTTGATTGAATCATTTCTTGTCGGTGCTCCCTGCAGGAGACACGGTGTTCATCGTCCTGAGGAAGCAGCGCCTCATCTTCCTGCACTGGTACCACCACATCACCGTGCTGCTCTACACCTGGTTCTCCTACAAGGACCGGGTCGCCGGCGGCGGCTGGTTCATGACCATGAACTACTCCGTCCACGCCCTCATGTACACGTACTACGCGGCGCGGGCGGCCGGCGTGCGGATCCCGCGGCCGTGCGCCATGCTCATCACGGCAGCGCAGATCCTGCAGATGGTCGTGGGTCTGACGGTGCTGGGCTTCGTGTACCGCTGGATGCACGACGTGCGCTGCCCCTCCAACATGGACAACGTGGCGTGGGGCTCGCTCATGTACCTGAGCTACCTGGTCCTGTTCGCCTGGTTCTTCTACAACACCTACCTGAAAGGCCCGTCCAGGGACAAACTATCCAAGGCAGAGTAACCGGGCCTGCTTTTCCTTCCAGATGTTGACTTTTTATCAGCATCTGCGTGGAAAAAGTGGGCGGCGTCCGTGGAGCGAGAGCAGGAAGAATAATCAGGGAATCAGTTTATTAAAAGTTCTGCCTCCGTGACTTTGGACCAAAGCCTTAAACAAATAACCAAGTCAGGGCCAGATATGAAAAAGAAGGGCAGCACAGTGGAGCAGTGGTTAGCACTGTTGCCTCACAGTTTGGTCGCATGTTTGCCTCCCAGCCTTTCCGTGTGGTGTTTACATGTTCTCCCCAGGTTCTCTGGTTTCCTCCCACAGACCAAAAACATGCACGTTAGATCATCTGAAAACTAAATTGTCCCCAAGTGTGAGTGAGAGTGAATGTTTGTGTCTCTGTCCCTGTGATGGACCGGAGACCTGTCCAGGGTGTCCCTGTGATGGACCGGAGACCTGTCCAGGGTGTCCCCCGCCTCTCCCACAGTGCGACACCTGCTCCCCACGACGTGGGACGGAGACGCAGGTAAAGGGAATGGATGGATGTTTGTAAAGACAAAGTCTTTGATGTTGAAAAAGCTCTGAAACAAACAAACAAAAAAACTTTTGCATTTATTATTTTCATGTTTTTTTTAAAGCGCTGTTTTAAGTCTTAAGTTTTGCACTGAAGAGTTGAAGTAAAATAGGAATTTTAAAACGATGACTCCTCGTTCATCCGACATGTTTTTACTTCACGACCTCCACTCGAACAGTTCAGCAGATTATTTCTGTTCGTTTGATTCTGGATGAAGTTCAGTTACTGGAAGTCGCTTCGTTTTTAAAGAAAATGTGATTATTTTTTTTAAACATTCCTATTCCTGTGACAAGAAATAAACTAATTCATGAACTTTAGGTTTAGTAAAATGAAAAAGTGTTTTATTCATCTGAGCCCTGTTATCGCACTGTAAAATAAAACTTTAATACCTCAACATGTTTACGCGTTTTAAAACAAATAAAGAATCTTGGCTCTGAAAGTTTTTTTTTGCTGAGTCATGCCGGCCTCCTGCTGCAGAACGTTGAATTTTTCTTCAAAGGTTTTCATTTTGTCTGAGGAACCTCGACCTGCAACTTGATGACTTAAGGAAGCAAAAAGTTCAAAATGAGCAAATCTGAGATTATTGGTAAACAGGAAGTCCTCATCAAAACAAGGTGAGAATAAAACAGAAAACTTGTAGTGAGTTAAACTAATTAATAAAACTGATTCACTTCTATACAATGAATTCATTTCAGCTTTAAATTCAACTTCCTGTTTTAAAAGTTGAGAAAGGTTGGCACATTATCTGACTCCTCACCTGTTTCTCCTCCTGAGGTCTGGTCCAAACACTGTTCGATCTGAACGCGACACAAGAGTTGATCCGGTCCAGAACTGTGAGGTTTCATGAAGGAGTTCCCAGAACGTTTGTGCTGAGGATGAGGGTCGGCATTCTCATCCTCAGCATCCAGAAGACCAAGGAGAAGGTTGTGAAGTTCTCAGAACTGACACCCCCTCCCACTTTATATTGATGGAGGCGGTCCCCTGAAGCTGACGAGGACCGGTCTGGAAGCTGGTGTCCTCATGTCCTGCCTGTAGGTGTCCTGACCTCCATCAAGGTAAGGTCTGCACAGAGGACCATCTGTTTGCAGCTTAGGGACGGTTACACCCCCAGGTGCAACACAAGAGACACCTGTCGTCCGTGACCCCACCCACCCTGCACACTCCTCTGGAGGGAGGCAGGTGCATCAAGATAAAAACCTCCAGCGTTTAAAAGAGTCTGAGTCCAGAGATCAACACTTTGGTGCCTTCTAGTGGCAGCTGCCAGTTTCAGGTTGGTTTAATCCTCCTGCTGCCCTTGGGTCAAAATGACCCAGGAGACCTCAATGTCAAGGCTTCATGGGTCAGTTTGACCCAAGGGCAGCAGGAGGTTGATTCAACTAATGAAATGGGAGAGGAGTCACATGAAGATGCCTTCAGGTACTGTTCAAATAGTTTGACTCCGTGATGTGTTTTAATAAAAAGTGTTTTGGTCGTATCAAAGGACTTTGCCCAAAAAAATTAGAAATATTTATAAAACTTGGAACAAAAAGCAAAATGGACCTTTCAATAAATGATGGACCCAGTGCACACTTCATTCTTCGAAGGATATTTCCCTGGTGTTTCTGTGGTCGTTTTCCATTTAGTTCTCACATTAGTTAGGAAAATGTTGTCTTTTAAAACCATGTTTTTAATAATAAAGAATTAAATAAGAATGATATAAGTAATGGATTTCTAACGTGTTGATTTCCACAATGTTTTTAAATGTCAACAGAGAAAACATTTTTATTTTTTCCAACATTTTACAAAAAAGCTGTTTATTTGCTTTTAAAAAAAATCCAACTTTACTTTCCCCTTTTTAACACGTAACTTCAGAACTTCATCTATAATTTTTGAGAAGATGAATGGAGACTGAAGCCGCCCTGTTTCTGTTAGGAGTGCAGCCCAAACCATAACACTCCCACCGCCATCACAGATGGGTTGTTTTTTCTGTTTCAGTGTGATTTTATGCTGACAGGTCAGTTCTTTACCTTCATGTTCACTGAAAAACTGTAGTTTATTTCAGTTTGAATAGAACATAATTTCCAACAAACTCCTTGATAGAGCCAAGTTTTTGGTGATCAACTCAAAAATATTTTCCTAGCAAACTTTCCTCTTTTTATTATAAGATTTATTCTTTATTTTTTTTAAATAACTTGATGTAGATTCAGACAAGTCTTGATTTCAGCTTTTTAGTTAAACCATCAGATAAGTTTAGAAAATAAAAAATGCGCGGGAATTGGTGGTTAAATGCAGCCTGGCCCCGCCCTCTAGTGGTGGCTACCGGAAATTGCTACTTAACTGTAACTTCACATTCTGGTACAAAAAATGTTGGTTTTTTTTCGTTAGGAGAAATGCTAACAGAAATGTTAGCAGTATAATCGTTATGAAAGAAGAAAAAAGTTAAAACACAAAACAAATTAAACTTCTACATGTCACTTCTGTTCATGCATGCTAGTGTTAGCATAGCCGCACTTAACTGCCACAGGACAAAAAAAAAGGCGGCATATTAAAATTCCCATGAGCCTTTGCGGTAACTTTAAGAGTTAAGTTTTATTTGTTGCTTGATTTTTATATTATTATTATAATTGTAGTTGAAGCAGAAAATTACTTTTAAAGTGTTTTAGTTACTCTGTGTTGCTGAGAACATTACTTTATTATGTAAATTTAATGGCTGCTGTGATTTCTTACCGGAAATTGGTTCTGCCGAAACGGAAGTGGAATTATTCTAATTGCGAATACTGTTTAAAAAAAATCGGCTCCTGGTATCTCTCTAGAAATGGCACTTGGTAGGCATTTGAGCGGGTTCTGGTTCCAATACTTGATGTAAATTAAGCTTTATTAAACAAACTGTACAAAATGTCTGAATTAATTAATTTTTTTTTTTTTTTTTTTACAGGAAACGTGCTTTGTAAGTGAAGGCAGCGCGGTGTGTTTTCCTGGAACATTTTGGGCTCCTTGAGGAGGAAAACTGGGCTCAGAGTTTCCAGGAACCACCCGGACTGTTCAACAACTTCCGCAGATCCAAGCCAGACTTCCAGACTTCACCTTAAACCCCTAAAGAGACGCTCAAACGGACGGGACCGACTTGATGTTTGTACACAAACTAAATGAAAACGAGGAGGAGAACGTGATCTGGGAGGAGCTGAAGTGACGGAGTCCAGCTGTTCTCCTCAGCTCTCGGAGCTGCAGAGAGGAGAAGTGATGAAACTGCAGCTGAAGACCCGCCGTCTCTTTTTGGACCATGAAACCAGCAGGACATGTTCCTGCCGTTTGGAGGAGCTGAAATGAGTCTGGAGCGGCTGAACAACCAGGTAAGAGCTGAAGCTGAGCATCAAAACAGCTGGAAATCATCAATATTTCTGATAAAACCCCTCAAGAATCAGGAAAAAACACTTAAACGAGCTTAAAAAATCCCTTACACAGGTGGATTAATAACAAAATGTACAATTTAATGTATTTTTTTAATTTATGATCATATATAATCCCAGCAAGTGCTTTACAAATCAGTTTTTATGATGTTATAAAGTACAGCTCAGAACAGATGTTCTGATTCATGCATCTTTTCTCCAGGTAGTCGGACGGAGTGGTTTCATCTTTTGGCTCTTTATTATAACACTTATTTTCAGAATGTTGTTTAGAGTCAAATTACCACATTTTACAAGCAAATCTGCACCAGTTGTTGAGGAAAAAAGCGAAAAGGGTTAAAATAGCTTTTTGTTGCTGGAACAGATGAAAATTGACATAAAACTTATCTGTGAGTGCTGACGGCTGCGTTTATTGATTGTATTTTAGGTTTGAATGGTTTAGACATCAAAGTTCATGCTCAACAGGTAAAAAATCCAACAAAGTTAATCAGGTCCTCTGGACAGTATCCTTTTATTGAAACGTTTTGTCTTTTATCCAAAAGACTTCTTAGAGTTGCCGTATGTTTAGACTTGACTTTTAGTATTTATTTTATTTATTTATTGTTTAAAACAGGTCTCTTGAAAATGAGTCCTCCAGACTCAATGAGACTACCTGTATATTAAATAAAGGTTGAAAACAATAGTGTGAAATGCTGAGTCAGCATTCACATTGTTGTTGTCATGTTTGTTTTTACCATCTTTTGGCATCTGGGTCTGATTACATTGTGCTATTTTAATCATTCTTACGTCAAAATGCTCATCAGGTTCAAGAGATGGATGCTGCCACTTTTGAACTTTTTGGAATAATTAACTTTGTTTATCAAAAAGTCCTGTTAATTTTACACAAAGATCTCTTCAAGTCTTTTAAAAACATTGTCTTACAAATCTGCTTCAGTGTACTGATACTAATGCTACTACTATTCATGTTAGTTATGCTAATGCTACTATTGCTAATGTTATTTATACTAATGCTAACGCTACTACTGGTAATACTAGTTATATAAATGCTAAATTTACT